TGATAATTTTTGGGATATTTTCCTGAATATCCCAACACCTCCCCTTTTTTTGGAGATCCGGAGTTGATGTCCGGATTTTAAATTTTTCTCGCGTCTATCCTCCCCCTCGAAATAATGTTGGGTCTTCATAAACCCAAGGAACAGTTAGTGTGACTCTATTTGAAGCATATTTCCCGCGTTGAGTAGAGAGTCCACTAGGTCTGACTAGATGGTGAGGATCAGCGACAGTAGATCTTAGGTCATTAGGGTTTAAATCTTTAGTAAGTAGTGGAGCATTATGATAATCGGCGTCCAACAAAACTGTCCCAGGTTCTTGGTTATTATTTGATGCGTGAAACACATTTTCTGGCAAAACAATGAGATCTTCTCGTGAGCTGGATATGTTACTGTCTGCACATGCTGTTTCGGGGTTGATGGAGTTTGAATCCATTACCGGGCATGTTTCTGAAATGGAAAGTACTGGACCAGTGGGCGCATCATGGATGACTGTTTCGTTTGAAGTACAGTTCATCGAGGATTCATGGAGGCTGCTGTCATTTTCCAGCTCACTGTGCATTTCAGATATCAATCTATCCACTTCCGTCGCATCTTCATAGCATGAGTGATTTAGCAGCTGCGTGCGGAACTTGACTAATAACTCCAAATGTCGTTCAAAGAGCAGCTGTAATCGACCGGAAGGGAGAGTCATTTTTTTGAATCAGCACCTGTGATGAAAATTATTGTATGACTAATGACCAATGTGGTTCAAGGACACTGATGACAATCTGGATACTGATTGGTTGAATAATTAGACTGGGTTTCGTCCAATTACAGAATGACTTTGGATTGTATTTTTTCTTCACCCCGTCGCCAATTATTATAACGTGAAAAATAATTGCTGATTAAGGGATAGCGAACTATTGATCGGACCAAAGACGCGCGAACACGTAGAACGACCTAGGGTTCTGATTGGTCTCGCTTCCCTGTATAGCCCAGCCAATTGAGTCCAGAACGAAGTCACAGCCTCGGATATATGAATCATTATATTTCAAACATACTCTATTTATATACCAAGCAAACAAACCACATCGTACCACAAAGTAGAAAATAACATTGTACAATATTGGCCAACAGGAAAATAACACGTTAAATAAATATCGACCAATGGGAAATGTACATTTAAGGTCCAAGGACACCATTGGACTTAACATGATAATTTTTGGGATATTTTCTTGAATATCCCAACAGTTTTGCTGTGCAAATAAGACGTTACTAATACAGGAGGCTATGAGCCTATTGGTCCTGGCCTGTAAGAGGAACGATGGCGCATGCACTGATAACACGAGCACTGACTGTGATGAATGTGTCAGTGTAGCACGCGCTGTTACGAGATGCCTTAAACAACCGACTCTGGTCGACGTAAAAGTGAAATCTCCGTTGACATTAACAGGGGGAGTAGTACCATCTGGTACTGACATTGTTAATAATGCACCTTTAGTGGTAACCGAAGATCTGGATAAAACAGTCACCGTTCCAAATAGTCCCAGTGTTATGAGGGATGAAAAATGGACTACGGTACGAAGAAACGAAACGAAAAGAAAAAACCTGTAGTCAGTGCATAGGTAGTTAGTAACTCACTGGTGAACTCAAATTGTGAGCCACAAATTGCACTACCAAAATCTGATGGTAAGAGTGAAGCCCATCCTGACGTGACTGAGAAGAAAAATCTAATAACATCGAATATTATTGTGAGCAAATTGATGGAGTCAAACGACCTAGATCCCAAAATTAGACACGCGCATGACTTAGAAAAGCTAGGAGAATATATTCGTAGTATGTTACCAAATAACTTTAAAGGAGTTCAGGTCAAAAAATTGGTTAGAATAGGTAAGAGGACCGAGGACAATGTTGAACCCCGTCCATGCAGACTCCTTAAGGTAATCCTGGGATCGGAGAAGCAACGGGATCTCCTGTTAAGTAGCGCTCGTTGTCACGAAAATCCCGACATCCGAGTTAGACCTGACATGTCTCTCGAAAATAGAATAAAAAGGAAGAAAACACCAGCTGAACTAGAAACCCGTCGGCAAAACGGTGAGGAAAATCTCCGGCTAGTGGGTTTTCAGATATTCAGGTCTTGGAGGCGAATGTTACCAAGGCCTGTATGGATAGACCGTTCTACTTAGGAGTTTTATATGCTAATGCTCGTAGTCTAAGAAATAAGTTCTATGAACTCGAAGCATTAGTGGACAGATTAAAGCCACTCATCGTAGCAGTGACAGAAACTTGGTTAGTCCATGACTTAGACACTACTCCAGAATTATTCGAACACCATTATCTCAGGAGCGATAGACATGAATGTGGGAAAGGAGGTGACGTACTGTTATATATAGTCAATAGCATAAATATCCGCTCCTCTGCTAGCGAGTTCCATTATAGCGGTACTTGTGAAGTCATTAGCTGTAAGTTGGCTATCGGATGTAGTACATTTATGCTCGGTGTCATCTATTGCATCCCAATCTGCTTAGCTGATGACTTTATTTTAGAGCACATTCATCTTTGGAGTGCAAATACCAAATGCTTGATAATAGGAGACTTTAACGCACCTGATATTAATTGGACTGATATGACCACAGAAGGATCTATAAACTCCTTTGATAGTAGGTTACTGATAACATTAATGGAGCATGCACTAGTGCAGCATGTATCCCAACCCACACGTTTTGGTGCTAACCAAGGTTCTTCTCTGTTGGACTTGGTAATCACTCATGAGACTGAGGATATTGTCGACCTAAATAATCTTCCACTATTAATGAACAGCGATCAAGCTGTTTTGTCATTCGTGTTTAGAACTAGGAACATGTTATACGATCAGGTTACACCCCGTCCAAATGTATGGAAAGCTAACAAGTCAGCCATTCATAAATACGCTGCTAAGACAGATTGGCTTGTAGATACTAGCTTATCAGTTGAAGAAGAATGGTCTGTATTTAAAGGTACTTTTAGTTTAATTACGTCCCCGTTCATACCATACCTGGTACCACGAAGGCCGAATAACAGTCCACCATGGATAACGAAAACAGTCAGGAAACTTCTTAGAAAAAGGAAGAATCACTGGAATATGTTCATCTCTACTGGCTCAGAACAATACAGATCCAGTTATCGTAAGATTAGGAATGCCTGTAAAGCGTTAATAAGCAAGACTAGACATTCATACGAAAAACAATTGGTTAGGGATTCTAGATATGGTCCGAAACGATTATTCTCGTATATAAAAAGGCGAACTCAGAGAAGCGATGGAATTCCATCACTTTTGATACGAGATAATCCGTTAATCTTAGCAGAGAATGATGCCGAAAAAGCTGAAGCGTTATCGGAATATTTTAGTAAGGTGTTTTCTATCAGTAATGAGGAACCACCAACGATTCATCGTGACCGTGACGGCTCGCTGATGGATACTGTAGTCATTGAGAAAGGTACTGTTTTAAGGCTATTTCAGCATCTCAGACCTGATAAGTCGAGTGGTCCTGATGATATTCATCCTAGGATTATGAAAGCCACATCAGAAGAAATTGCTGAACCATTAGCGTTACTATTCGACATGTCTCTGAGACAGTCCAGACCTCCTAGACACTGGAAAGACGCCATAATAAGTCCGGGGTATAAGGCTGGGAGTAGGGATTTAGTTAGTAACTATAGACCCGTTAGCTTAACTAGTGCATTTGTAAAACTGATGGAGAAAATCATTCGGATAGCTGTTCTAAACTATGTTGAATGGCAAAATCTTTTCTCCAGGGCACAACATGGTTTTCTGAAAGGTCTATCTTGCTTGACAAATATTCTCATTGCACGAGAAGATTGGGCTGCTGCAAAAGATCGGAATATTTCTGTGGATGTGATCATCATAGATCTAAGTAAGGCCTTTGATAAGGTTTCACACTCTGGTCTTAAATTCAAACCGGAACGTTTTGGAATCCATTACACAGTCGTAGATTGGATAAATAACCTCCTCCATGACAGGAGACAAAGGGTAAGAGTTGATGGGGCTTTCTCCTCGTGGATACCTGTAAGACGTGGAGTTTCCCAAGGCACAATCCTAGGTCCTCTACTCTTTTTACTTCATGTAAATGAATTACCAACTGTAGTAAAATCATATGTTCGCTGATGACATAAAAATTTGGAGACCCATACACAGTATGTCGGATAGAATAGTATTACAAAGTGATCTTAGCTCATTGGTGACATGGTTAGACAGATGGTCACTAGAAGTAAATCCTAATAAGAGTGTAGTGATGCAGTTAAATAACTCTGATGAATCGTATGACTATGCACTACGTGGATTGGTGCTAGCTTTAGGAGTCATATTAAGCAATTATCTCAAAACCATGAGTCACTGCAAGGCTGCTGCTGCAAAAGGCTACAGGGCATTATGGTCAATTCGTAGGTCTTTCCAGTATTTAGATGATGAAATGTTTAGATTATTATCTTCGATTCATGTGCGACCACATTTAGAATACGGGATTCAAGCAGCGTGTCCTTGTTTCAAGTATGAAGCAGATATGCTAGAAAGAGTCCAACAACGAGCTACTGAGATGGTACAAGGTTTATCTGGCCTATCTTATGAAGACAGACTGAAACATCTTAACTAGTTTCCGTTATATTACCGTAGAGTACGGGGTGATCTAATATTGGCTTATAGTATACTGAACGATGACCTTGGTATTAACATATCTTATCTTTTATTTCCGTCTATGACTGATCATTTGATAGGACATTCGAAGAAAGTTAAAAAACGGAGATCAAACCGTTTACGTCTGGAGTTTCTTTTCTCACACCGAGGAGTGAATTACTGGAATTCTCTACCGGAGCACGTAATATCAGCACCTTCTGTTGATATATTCAAAACGAGATTGTACCTACACAGTATTACAAACTGCAAGTATTAATATAGGTCAATAGACCTCCCATCCTTATTATTGAAGACTGAGAACTGAAGACGAGCCTAGAACAAATTACTTGTTGAGCTTCGAAGTAAAATATTGCGCATAGAATAAAGAGGGAGATTTGTTCTATCAAGGTCATTCGTTAATTTTCTACATATAAGTGCAATGTTTACATTTCCATCTCATCTTGGATCTTGGAAGTCACAAATATTACGAGCAGCTTAGTTGTTTAGATTCTTTACAATTACTTTCTATCCTTCAAATTGCGGAGACACCAAGATTCAATCCCTCCGATTGCAGAGGATACATCAGGCTTTGGAGCTTGTACAAGCAGCACTGCTGAAGGTTCTCGTTCATTTGGGGTCGCCTCTTCCTCGGAAGAGTCAGGACGCTTCTACAATGTGGGGGATGGACAGCGTTTTCTGAAGAGGTGGCCCTCTACGCCTCAACCAGGCACTCGTGTTTGGATACGGTATGGTGGCACAGTGTGCTATGGACAAGTAGTGCATTGTATGCCTGAACTTAATATGTTCACTGTACGACCAGCTGATGGTGGCTCTAGACTTGTCACTCGTGGTCTTGAAGATATTCTACCTTCTACGCCTCAACAGTCAATCTTAACTCCACCGACAGAAGACGAATGGGATAGTGACCTGATTGGATGTGATGAAATTCCCCCGAATACACACAGTATTACAGCTTTCCCCACAAAATGCGAGGCCACTATTTCGGACTCCTTTTCTTACCCATTATTCATCGATGTACCATCTAGGTGAGTGTCCCACCTGACTGGTCTTTTTTTGTAATCATTTAAGTATCTTCGTGGGAAGTGAGTGAATCTAATAAACCCAGTTTATAGCGATCTCTACCCGGTGCAATTCTAGTGGCAAGTCTTTTAGACTTATTCAACTATTGACCTAATAACATTAAATTCTTGTCTGCCAAGTCTTGAGACCTGGCAAAATTGTAAAATGGCCTAACTTATCACACAGTTTCACTATCTCTAGAGATCATTACCAGGATATATAGGAAAGCGTCAAAAGCCACATAATAGTAAAAGATTGGGCGTAGATAATTTAGTTCGAAGAGAAGAGACCAATTCCAAGAATATGGGCGAAAGACACAAATCAATGATAACTACTACTAGCCTTATTATTACTGTGTGGCGCATATGTATTTAGTGCCCCCAGGAATGAAAAGTGTGAAGTAATTCAAAAATTCAAGATTTATAAAGTAGTAGACAAACTTATCAACGCATTGCTACTGATTACGGGTTATTTCGGCTTGGACGATAAGAATTGGTCAGAAGTTTCCCGTAAAAGTCAAACAGTCCATATTTACCATTATAAATCAGACCGACAGTCAGTGACTTCATATATTGATTTAGTGCCTCAATACTTACTTGAACAATTAAAAAGTCATTTAGATGGATTAGTGTTTGAATTTTCTGAAACAATGTTTATTAGTGGTAACACTAGCCTACCCAATACTACTTGGCGTATAGCAACTGCTTTCAATTCTCATAATTCCTATTAGTTTGTTAGTAATCGACTGACCTAATGTACCTTTGGGTTATAACATAGACCATGGTCTCATTCATCATAAATTAATTCTTAAATCAAATTAAATAGTACCGATATTATTGGGTTCGTTCTTAAATCCTTAGTTTCCTAGCACAACTTCGTAATCAAGCATAGGTTCCCATACTCGGCTAACAGCCATCTATCTTTCATTAGGGATAATCATCATATTTAGCTACTTGAACTAAACGAAGACATGATATTTAGGCACAAAGTGCTATGACTTTCAGATTGTCCTCAAATACGTGGTTATCCTGTACCACATTTTTGCTCCATTGTGAATTTCCTTCATTATGTTCGTTGTAAGTTACGGTAAATCCGACCAATATGCAAGTGTATCATATTTATGTTACTGGCATATGTTACCTGCTTTTGCGACCTCAAGTAGTGTCCGTCCAGGCTGTCCACTTTCTCCGTTTTTGTTTAACTTAATTATTGACCTGACGGAAATAACGTTCTCGTCGACCGAATTCTCGAGCATTGATCTCTTTCCAGGAGGTCCACTTATCGACTTAGAATACGCAGATGACGTAGTCCTGTTTGGTGAAGACGCTGATAAAATGCAGTGTTTTGGCAAAACTAAGCAACAATGCCAGAACGTTTGGGATGCCCTTCTCTCCCTCTAAATGCAAGTTGTTGCTTCAGAACTGGTCTGCGTCAACACCTGAACTAAGGATAGGGAGTGAAGTAGTCAAACGCGTTGACAACTTCACTTATCTTGGAAGTCTGATCAGCCCGAATGGGTTGGTGTCTGGTGAAATCTCTGGATGGAATCAGAAAGCTCGTTTGGCTTTTGCCAACTTACGTCACCTACGGTGAAGGCGGGATATCCGTCTATCAATTAAGGGACGAGTATACTGAGCAGCAGTTCGTTCTGTTTTACTTTACAGCTGCGAAATATGACCATTAAGAGTCGAAAATACTCTTAAGCTACTAGTGTTAGATCACAAACGTCTTACAAATATTGCTCGCATCTGCTAGGATAACCGGGTAAGTAATAGTGAGGTTAGGCGCATGGTATTAAGGAATGATGGTAAATCAGTTGATAAGGTTGTGAATCTTCATCGACTGAGATGGTTGGGCATGTGTTGCGTATGCCTGAACACCGTTTACCACGATGCACAATGATGACTAGTGTTGGCGATGGCTAGAAGGAAGTTAGTGGTGATCAAACCAAAAAGTGGCATCAATGCCTGAAGTCACTAACTTCTGGTCTGAGTCATGTTGGTAGATGTAGACTACTTGGCTGTGGTCCACACGACTATTGCAATCAATGGTTGGAGACTGGGTGACATGACTCAGAATCGATCACAATGTCGTCGGTGTATACACTTTCTGTCTCCCCTTAAAGTGATTAAAATCGCTTCATACTTTTCTTTCTATGCATAAATTCTTTCGTCCTGTACTATATCCTTATACACAATCTTTCTTTTATGTATTACGACCATTGATTTAACTACTATGAATCCGGTGTTCATCTTGTTGTGTTAATGAGGTATGGCAACTTGAACCGATGCATATATGTGTCTGGTCCTACATTTTAATTGACTGATTGACCTTATGATACTGTTTTTCTTGTTTGTCTACGTAGTTGTTTCGTTTGCATTTCTCTTTTTTCAAGCTGTAATAGCTGATATCATTCGTCTGACATTGATTTTGTAATCACTATTTATTTTAGAGCATCTATTGATGAAGGGTCATCTTTTGAAAAAATGACTACTTTGTCTGGTCTGCCATCAAACTCTACAGCCTCATTCGGTCTTTCACCGATTCTGGGCTCCTCAGATGTAACTGATGTGAATATCCCTAGAGAACCTGCAGGACATTTCGATGTTTCGTCTCATAGGACATTTGCCGATAATAATCCCTACCCACACAAGTCAACACTTGGTACCAGTCTCCCTTCTCGTGGGTCCATGGATCCCTCATCTGTAACACATCTGGTGACTCAGAGGGTAGGTTCCTCGAACAGTGATAACTGCTTTCACAAACGTTGGGACACGTTTTCTTCCCAACCAGAGCTATCTTCTAAAGGACTGATAAAAACACATGATGAAGACTCACCTCTTGAAGTAAAGCGAACCTCCATTCCATCTCAAACCACAAGTTTCCGAAATCAAGCCTCAACAGATTATGTGATTGAAGCTGTTTTGCACTGGATTGAGTCTATTTCTCCTAATACATCTGAATGTGAGTTTCGGATTTCATGACACATTTGTGAATTTATTTTTCCATATGTAATACAGTATATTAACTACCTGGTAAATGTTATGTTATTCATCTGTTCAAGGAACATATTAGATTTTATTCCATTCGTCAGTCAATTTTTTTTCGTGCACATCATCCAATATCAATTTACCCAACAACAGTCCCATTAAAGCTTAGAAGCACTCAACATCCAACAAATATCTAATATTTTTCTCGTTTATTCTAAGCATTTATTAATAACTAGTAATAATGTAAAAATTCTCTTCATTTTCCAAATCACTAGAATCACTGCCCTTGTCGTTGTATCATACCAGATACTACTGCGATTCCAGTACTTTTGTTCCTGAATGTTATATCAATTTGAGTCACAAAATTTAATTTGAGCATCTCAATCCTTGTTCAACCAACTTAAACAGTGTTCCAATTCCTACTCTGATTTGCTGCTAAAGAGGAAAATCTTGAAAGAGATCTTTTATTTTGCATTTACTGCTCGCGGTTATTGATTAACATCTTAGTCATTTTACACTTAAACTGTCTTGAATTTTCATCCTTTTTCACGGCAAAACGTAATAATCACTTAGTTCTGACGAAACTTCGAAGATTAACTGACTACAGACAACTTTCAGCTACGAGTCGGTGTCTTTATCAATGCATCCACAGTGAATTGAATGTTACACTGTACCAAATCCAGACTATAGTCGTTTTTACTGTTCATTAACTGTTTATCTGTTTGTTAAAAGTATCGATTTGTTTCAAGTATTTTTCTGCTTACTGGTTTCAGCTAGCACTTGGGAGAAAGTAGACATAAATGAACTCAAAGAAACTATGAAAACATTATTGGCATCATCAAATACATGTGAAGGGGACTATGCTCAAGAACATTCTGAAGATCACCCTCAACCATCTGTTTACTCTCCAACATGTTTTGAACAGGCTCATTTTTCAGTAATTGAAACAAGTTCGGAAACCAGCATGCCTTCACCATCTAGTAGTGTTTGTTTATGCCCCAAATCAAGTTTAGCCCTAGTAAATAGAGAAACTGTTGTTTCAAATTACCAGTCAACTCGTTTCATGATCACTGAACCGCATCAACAACAGGATGGATCACAGTATTGTCTTCCGAACCCTTCATCTACATGTCCAAAATGTTTCCCTAATTTGGGCGCACAAAATTCACTAGAGTTTGTCCGGGATAAGATATCACCCTGTGATTGTAAATCATTTCAAGGGGATTCAAATAACGCAAATTCGTTTCATCTTGACCCAATTTTTGAAAATACTTGTGTTATTTCTCCCAATTTTATCCACACATCGTTGGATCCTAAGAGTGATGTAAGTTTATTACTAATTATTAATGTTAACCGATATTAATTTTAAAATTCGTCGAATTATGATGTTACAAAATTAAGCATTTCAGACCGTTATTTTTGTTCTTGACGATTTTAATATTATTGAATTCCAAGTGTAAGATTTCTTAATATGAACTAGTATGAATTTAGATTAATAGATTAATAACTTGTTTATCCATTGTTAAAGCAGTATGTATGTCCATTTAACTCCACCTATTTTTTTAAAAAAAGTCATGTAATCTAGGATCTTAGGAGTTACCGCTCAAGCTTTTTCTTAACAATTAAATTATTTGAAATAATAATAAAATAGTTGTAAATTCAGTACCCTCGTATGAATCTTATTGTGAACCGATCTCCCCTAATATATTTTTACTTGATTTGAAAAGTATCGTTAGGTTCATTGTTTGATCTCCATCCACCAGATCTAAATTAATTTTTAGCACTCACCTTTTGACCTAGAATCCGGTGAGTACCGCTCGGTTAAAATTTCATTAGCCAACCTTATCAGTGGAAATGAACTCTATATATATTATTTCATTCAAAGATAATTTACGAAGACCTGTGTTTTTTTCTTTTGCCTTAAGGTTCTATCTATCTGGTAGCCGAAAAATTCTATACAACATGCTCGACTTACAGTTAGGATTTGTTGAATTTTACTTTTTGTTATCAGTTAGATATCTCTTCAAATATTATTACTATCAAATGCTCTATTAGGTTATGAGGTAAGATTATTAAGGAAGCCTTCAAGCATTTGATTATGTGTCAACAGTGATGGATCCATCTAGTAAGTGGTGTTTAAGGTTAAATTTGATCTAATCGATTGAGGAAGTCTTTAATTGGAACCGAATTCTGTAGTCAGGTGTTTTTAAACACTTCATTTTATCTAGTAAAATTGGTGTAGTATGGTGGCAGTTCATTGAGTTATATTGTGTGATAATACGTTTGGTTGGATGTAGCCTTATTGCCGATTATGATTACGGAAATAGTTAGAACTGGTGATTGGTGACACATACCGCTCAATATACTGAAAATGTTACTTTCAATCTATTCGTTTTTCATCACGTTACTTTTTCTAAAACTGTATCCTTGATTCATTCTTGGCTTCGTCTCGTCAGTTTTAACTGACTAACGTACTTGTCTTAAGAACATTCAACAAATTTAATCGGTGTCGTCACTGGTTATAATCCATGGGTTTGCAGATTTCAATCCCTTTCCATCAATCAATATCGATGCATTTGATTTGTTAGCTAAATTTAAGCCATAATCTTATTCATACTCAAGTCTAAATAAGCTCTATGCTATACTCCTTACATTTCATAAATACCTATCTACTAGTTGTATTTACGTGAGGTTTTTTTCAAAATTCACTTTAGATTTTCACCAGTTCCGAACCTTCATCGAATCCTCTTGTTTATGCTCAACAAATTCTTCCATCATTAATTAACGAACGTGGTTCAGTGAGTTTTCAGTTATTGTCTTCCATATTGGCTCATAGTCGTATTGAATGTAATCAAGATTGTCAAAGAAGTATGCTTTTAGATGGATTAAAACAAGCATTCAGTTCTATAATGTATTCACCCACTAGTGTGCCTTCAACACCGACAACCAATGAAGTTTATTATGGTGCAGATCCAGTCTACTCTAGAAGTCATTCGTCAATGCTACATGAAAATAAAGAACAACCAAATACTGGATGTACAGTTCCTGTACGTAGACACTTGTCTTGTGTTGGATTTACGGATAGCTTAAGTCCTGTATCATTGATAGACAGTCCAACACATAATTTAAGTGAAGCTCATAATATGTTCCCACGTCCTTCAGAATCAGGTCCATACTTTTCTGAAAGTTGTCCGAGTCATATAAATGTTGACCATGTGAGTTACTATTGTTCTTACGTAATTTTTATTTATAATGTGTCATTCCTAGCCTGTATATTCTATGAATACATGATCACCTCTAGATGGGATTTTAATTTCATACGTCCACGACCTTCGCTGAGGTGTTGCTTTTTTGGTTGGTTGTGTGCACACTGTTCATGCTAAAATTACAGCAATGTCGTAGCAGTACTCACGAGAAATGTTCAGCTCGCTAAAATAATACTTGAAAAATATTACCCTGAATTTGAAAATTATTCATTTCGAAATGCATCGCTTCATTTGTCTACTCAAACTAATGTAACTGCCATCCATATTTTAAAATTATTTTAATCTTATAAACTTGGCTAGTCTATTGTCCTGACAGCTACTTGTTCCAGTGTATTCCCTTCACAAGATCTGTAATATATATATATATATATATATATATATATATATATATATATATATATATATATATATATATATATATATATATATATATATATTAATGACCCTATCGTGATATTGAGTTTGCGACTATCAAAACGCCTCAAAAATGCGGCTGCCGTCAATTAATAAAAGTTTCATTTAGTTGTAATTTTTAAACCATAAGTGAAAACTTAAATCTCCCTCATCATAATCGCGTTTTCACCAGCTGATACTCAAGGTCATATCGAATTACTGTGCAATTCTCCATGAATTTCTTATCATTTTATCAGTATGAGGCAGTAGGTAAAGTCTTCGTTGTTTATTTATTTATTTATTTATTTATTTATTTATTTATTTATTTATTTATTTATTTATTTATTTATTTATTTTAACACAGATATTGGTACAAGGAGGCACCAAATACATATGCGCCACACAAATCTCATTTACTATGTGTGAGGGCTGTGCTACTGCCCGGGTGCCCAAATCAAAGCAGGTGGTTTTCTTAGAGAGCCACTCCCCGAGCCTTCGACCTACAGGTCTGATCCGCAAGGCAGTGGAGCAACGTAAGGAGATGCAGTCCCATGGTAGCCAGTGACGAACGGTTGGTTTCTACGCCACTTGTTCCTTCAGGATACTGGAGCCCATGTGTAACATTGGTTTAGAATCAGGGTTTTCCAACTCCCCTAGGTGTACCCTCCATGTCCACCAACCCAGTTAAAGCGCCGGACGTTCGCTTTTCGTCCTCAATTTCGTAAACAACACCCCCGCCACGGGAAGGCAGTGAGTAGGACCTCCCTGGCAGAGGCTATATACGCGTGGTCATGTAAGAGCATTTCGAGGGGGAGAGCTGACTCTCCCCACTCTCGGCCATACCAGGGCATTTAGGGGCTATTCACCTTTATAGCTCATCGATAGTTAGAGTAGAGAATAACTCGAGGTAGTTTTAATTAAATTGCTAATCAATGTATTAATTATATTGTGTAATAGTAGTGCTTAATAGTTACACGAGACACGATCAAATAAAAATATCCCCTTAAATTACGCCTAATAGTGTTTTCGATTAGTAATTAACAATAAAAGTATTATGTTTATTTAGTTAACGGCCATTAGTATAAATATCAGTAACATGACAGTTACTAATGAAAAAAGCATTTATCTCCAGCTACAAAATACAACATTTTGTTAACTATTTGCATGTTGCTCTTCAAATAAATAATATATTTCCTTGTATTATTTCCCATCCATTTCAGCCTAAGGAATTACAGACGACTTCCTTATCATACCCCAGTGGTAGTGCCGAAATGCTTCATCATGTATATTTCCCACCCAGAAGTCAAAAATCTAAGTCTGGAGAGTTTCTTCGGCCGGAAACTTCTCACACAGTTGAACAAGGGTACACCATTCAGTTGAACACCTCAACCAATGAAGCTTCAATGAAAACAAATGTTGAAACAAATAAAACATTGAAATTCCAAGTTAACTGTAATTCTTTCGTTTCACAACCTCGAAAGTTGGATTACAGAGATTCAATCAGTGGCATACCTTTACGTGTTGGTTTACCACCATCAACTACTACTAGTGGACGTATCGATGTTCGTAAATGTCGTAAAGTTTACGGGATTGAAAATAGAGATCAATGGTGTAATCAGTGCAAATGGAAAAAAGCGTGTCGACGTTTTCCAAATCCATGCTCAGTGTCTAAACATGCTCAAGGACTAAGTAACCGTAATCTCCCAGCGGAAAAATGTAGCCGACAACCTCTTGAATCTAATGTAGCTGAAATGTGTGTCATTTGTTCACCAGCATGTTCATCTGATGTAACTCTCCCGCCTATGACTTCTCCAAGTAGTTGGTCAATTTCAAGTTCTATCTCTGGAAAATTATCGGATAATTCGACTGTTCCTTATAAAAATTTAACTGGTCAATGAATATATCTATATAACTAGAGTATTTTTTTAAAAGTATTCTAAGCATCCCTTAATCTTACGACCTTATAATACAAATTTAATTCTCTGAGTAATTTTTCGATCTTTCTTGTATTATCTGCTTTTTTTCTCAATAATCATCAATAATAATATCGTCACTTATTTTTGCACGATCTCTAAACTGAATTAAAACAAATCCACAAAAATACACATTCATTCATATTATGTAAATGAATAAAACAACCGGTTCATTTCATTGGTTCTATATATGTATGCACACACATACATATTTAGATCTATCTAACCATATCACATGTGCCATTATTGTTGTTACTGCTTTTGTTTTAATACAGGCGTTTTTATTCATCGTTTCCACGTATAATTCCTCATCATATTAATTCATAATTTTTTATTTAAGGAGTTCGAATAAAATCTCCATTCAGAGAGAAGTGCTAGTCTGCACAAATATTTTCATCTAATATACTGTGCATTTCAACTATAAACTATTCCATGAATTTATTCATTATCCTATACATATTATCATTTTTCTTCTTCTCTGTCTTATTAAAGTACCATATTTTGATTCTTTTTTGTTTGATGGACAAATCATTGAAATACTACCGACATCATAATTGTTGTTGTTAGCATGTTACCAAGTGTTGTTGTCCCTATCCTCATCACTATTTCTAATCATATTTGTAAACACCGGTTTTTCTTTTCACATTCCATTGAAATTCATCTGTTCTGGTCTCGTTTCTATCTTGACATTGTGGTTATTGTTGGTAAAAATGAAACAAAGTCTCGTTTAGTCCCCACCTAACATACATTTGTATACAAACACGGTGAGAGCAATTTGTTTCAATCCAGTCAAATTGATCAATTATCTAATGCCATATTTATTATTTTTTACTTTCACTTCTCTTGTTTTTTTTTCTCAAAAGCCAAAGATATTACCTTCCTTCAGCCTCTTTTTATACGCTCACTCAATCACCTGTGTCAAACATACCGGTTTTACATATGTCACTTTCATTGTCTATTATTTTTATTATTATTATTATTATTTCCATTGCTTCTTTTTTTTCTCGATCGAACAAATTACATGGGGATCTATTTTTTCAAACTTTATTTTATGTTTATGGTTGTTATCATTGTTATTTTACTTACATATGTATAATAAATTATCATTGACACTATACATGGCGCAGATAAACTTTTCCTGGTGAGAAAACACACAAATTGATGAGTATAATTGTTATTGTCATTTTTAGGCAATCACTATCAGTTCGTTTTTTTTGTTCATTTCCTTGTTATTCTTTATTTGTGCTCATTTATTGTCTTCTTCCATCATTACCATTGTCTTTCATTTCTTAAGATATAATAATAATTTGTCTAGAATTATGTATGTATTCTTGATTTCTTTTGTTCGTTGTTTTTTTTTAAAAAAAAAGAAAAAACTTTCAACATGAAAAATAAGGATTTATTATTCAGAGCATGAATTCTAGTTTTCTAACATATTTTGTCATTTATCATGCATTTCATTCCTATGTATTATATCATTTTATACACAAATACCCATCTATTCACATTCACTTACACGTATATACATACATATGTTTATATGTCTTCTATAAATAAATACATCATATTCATGGTGTATATGCATATATAATTTCTTCGATTCACAGCTCAATTTCATCAATTCTACTTCATAGATAAACAAATAACACTACAAAGAAATGAAACTTCAATCGGATCTTTTTTTCTTTTTCTTGTTCAGGGTCTCATTGATTTCATTGTGTCTATTTGATTAAGTGATGTTCAATTATTTCTTAAGATTTTTATTGCTTTTTTCGACAATAATTTGTTATTAGCTAGTAAATCAGCTGTCTTCCTTGATTAAATTGAATGTTGTCGAAAGGTATTGTGTAATTGATCATGAGTACACACACACACACGTACATTTATATACATACCTGCACACATAATGTGTATGTTTATGTATTTCAAAGAAATGGTCTAGACAAAGTCTGTGATAAGAGAGTTTCTTCAAGTCTTCCTTCATTTAAATTGCATGTTTCGTATACTTTTGTTTGCTTTCTCTTGTTTATATTTTACACAATATTTCACAGATAAAACTTGAATGTTGATATGCCATTGTTAATAATACTACTGTTATCAATACTACTATTAACACCAATAATAATATTGCCTAATAAATATTGATTCAATAGTTGAATTCATGAGTCGATTAAAGCTAAACCACCTTGGAAAACCTGTAAGCACTGGACGGTAGTGCACAGACTAAATCGTGACACTATGGATCATCGTCGAAAAATCAATTGAATGTAACTCGTCACTATACATCAACTTCCTTAACTATGAGAAGGCGTTTTACAGTGTGGATAAGAGAACTTTATGGAACCTTCAACAATATTGTGTGAGTAGCTAAGAAAATCGTCAACGTCTTCCGGAATTCATATGAAGGACCACACTGCAACGTTGTGCATGGAGGACAGCTGACAGACGCATTCTAGTCAGTCAGTCAGCTACAACGTAGGACCAGGCACATATATGCATCGGTCCAAGTTCCGTTACCTCATTAGCACAACAAGACGAACACCCAATTCATAGAAGTAGTTAGTTCAATGGAAGTAATATATAAAAGAAAGATTGTGTATAAGGATATAGTACAGGAAGAAAGAATTAGTTCGTAAAAAGAAAGGTACGAATCAATTTCAGTCTCATAGTTTAAGGTAAGACAGAGAGTGTATAGACCGACGCCATCGTGATCGATTCTGAGTCATGTCACCCAGTCTCCAACCATTGATTGCGATAGTCGTGTGGACCACAACCAAGTAGTCTACATCTACCAACATGGCTCAGACCAGAAGTTAGTGACTTCAAGCACTGATGCCACGTTTTCCTTTGGCCACCCTTGACTTTCTTCCAACCATCGCCAACACTGGTCATCATTGTTCGTCGTGGTAATCGGTGTTCAGGCGTACGCATTTTAAGTGAAGGCCAGTGTCGGACAAGGCTATTTACTCTCCCCCTCCTCTTTTTTATGGTGTTGACTGGATTATGAGGACCTCAACATCTGAGGGGAAGCACCGAATAAAATGGACAGTTTGGATGCAACTAAACAGTTTGAACTTCACAGATGACCTGGCCCTTGTATTACATACACGTGAACAAATACAGTTGAAGACAACCAGTGTTGCAGCATTCTCTGCACCAGTAGGCCTCAACATATATAAGGGAAAGGCAAAATCCTCAAATACAGCACATAGAACACAATCACGTATCTGGGTTGCATCATCGATGAACAAGGAGGATCTCACGCAGACTTTAAGGCGAGGATTGGTAAAGCAAGGTCCCTATTCCTACAATTGTAGAACATATGGAACTCAAAACAACTGTCAACCAATATTAAAGTGAGAATCTTCAACACTAACGTCAAGACAATTCTACTGTACGAAGCTGAAACGTGGAGAACTACAACAACCATCATCAGGAAAGTATTTATGAACAATTATCTACAAAAGATACTCAATGTCCATTGGTCGGATAGCATTAGCAACAGCCTACTGTGGGAGAGAACAAACCAACTTTCAGCTGAAGAGGAAATTAAGAAACGATGTCGGAAGTGGATAAAACACATATTAAGGAAATCATCAAACTGCATGGCGAGGTCAGCCCTAACTTGGAATCGTGAATGGAAACGGGGAAGAGGAAGCCCAAAGAACACATTTCGTTGGAGAATAGAAGCAGATATGAAAAGGATAAATAACAATTGGAAAGCTTTGCCCAGGAGAGAGTTGGATGGAGAGTGCTGGTGGGCGGCCTATGGTCCGCCGCGTGGAGTAACAGGCATTGATCTCTTTCGAAGATTTGATCTTGATGTGCTTAAAACAACTGTAACTAATATCCATGCCGTTCTTAGTCAGCCAAAAAACAAATTATTAAAATGGATAGTTTATGGAAAAGAAAACAATAATTTAAAAAATCGTAGGCTTTTAACTGAGTTACTTAAAGTCTTTTACAGGTTAATCTGTCCATAAATCGGAAAAAAAAATATACAAATTTGCCAATATTGACATTGATTATCCATTTTCTCAAACTGATTATAAGAACTTATATAAAATTCCAAGTGTCATAATATTGTACTTAATTAGAGCTAGTGTGTATTCATCACAAATCAACATCAATTATGACGTGAAAATGCTTATTAAGCATATGAATTAATGGATTTTGCTTAAAAATTTAATTAGCACCATCCAGAATCCGAAAGTGTTAATTTATCCATTTTATACAATCTATGTTAAAATAATTAATTATTTTCACAGATTGAAATCATGAGTCAGTTGAAGCTAGACCGCCATTGAAAACCTGGAAGCACTGGACTGCCGTTTCGCCCTAGTATGGGACTCCTCAGCAGTGCGCATCCACGATCCCACACCACGCGGGGCCCGAACCCAGGCCGTCCAACTGCTCACTAGTAACTGACTTCAGGAAAAACTCCCGAAGTTCTAGTGAGAAGCCGTTACCAGTGGAGTTCAACCAGGTCTGTTGTGAGATAGGAACTCACTGAAGACAATGGTGTACGGTGGCGCAACTTCGTGGATTGGTTGAAGTTAGACATTAACACCGTTGGATGCCGGCTCAGTGGTCTAGTGGTTAAGTGCTCGCGCGCGAAGCCAGTAGGTCCTGGGTTCGAGCCCCGCGTGGTGCGGGATCGTGGATGCGCACTGCTGAGGAGTCCCATACTAGGACGAAACGGCCGTCCAGTGCTTCCAGGTTTTCAATGGTGGTCTAGCTTCAACTGACTCATGATTTCATTCTGTGAAATTTCTAAAATCTCCACAACACCCATTCTGATAATTATTTTCAGTTTAGTGTTTGTGGAGATTGTTAAGTTTTTGATTGAGATCATGAACCGATTGATGTTAGACCACCATTGAAAACCTGGAAGCAATTAATTATTTGATATATTTCTACACTATGATTAAATAATCAACTTTTTACTATTATATTCTAAATGTTATTAGCACTATACAAAGGTAGTTTTACTGTTCATATAAAAGTTATTTATTTTTTGTATTATACACCAAAATCTTAAAAGTTGTATTTCTTAATTCTGATTATTCGTTCTTATAATTCTACTTATACTTAATTATTTTTATTGATTTATCTGAACAAACAATTATCAACCAAACTTAAATTTAACACGTACATTTAATGCGGAAAATATAAAACAATATTTGGTACTAAATTTGTTCAAATGGCAATTGATTAATTCAGATAAACATTGTAAATAATAGTAATAGTTAATCCTTTCAGATGCCTTGATGAGCTTGTAATAAATGTAAATAAGCATTAGTTCCAGATAATAATTGGTTAATTTAATCAGTAATTATAACATATTAATTCTGTCACAATTGATTGATCACTGGGTGGTGATCAATGTCATGTGTGTCAAGTCCTTATTTTAGTGCAGATCGAAAGCAGTGTCGAGTCACCTAGACTGGTGGCCACATTATAACATGGTCGATAGAATTTGATCTGCACTAAAATAACGACTTGACACACATGACATTGATCACCATCCAGTGATCAATCAATTGTGATTACATCTCAGTCCTACAGGAGGTCAGTCGCGGCCTGGATAGCTCAGTGGCAACGTCTCTGACTGTGAAGCTGGGTGACATGGGATCGAATCCGCCAGGGGGCATCAGTTCCTTCAAGATTATAGGTACATCTTGCTGAAGAGTGACAAGTAGCACGAAACACGCGTCCAGGATTTACTGTCGACTACCTCCAACCACTATCTAATATTAATTCTGTACTATTCTCATAAATGGATATCTATCTGTTCACTTTTAACTCGAATTTATCTTTATTATCACTAATATTATCGTTACTATCAGTGTTATTATTGCAAACCATATATGAATGCAAACACTAAGATTAGTCTTTTTAATGCCACATTGTCATTGATAAGTTTTTAATTTAGGAAAACTCAGATGGCAAGTAACAAAACGATAGAAAATAATTTTGTTTTTTCAAGGAGTTGGAAATGAATGACGGAAGATTATGGAGTTTAATGATGTTTAAATTTCAATCTGCCAACTAGGTTTATCTGAAACTGTTAATTCCAATGTGATTTTCCTACTCATTGTTTCTTGAAAACTAGGATTAAAACATAATCCATGTGGTTCTTGAGCCCTTATAATAGTGACTACAGTTGATCTTCATTAATGAAACTCAATCAGAAGTATATATATATATATACATGACAATGGTCGTAGTTAATATTTTCAATACAACAACTTGCTAATCACAAACAAAATATTTACTATTTATAAGTAAAGTGTTTCGATATTTAATTCACTGGCATAAGTTACTGAAATGGATTTTTCATTGAATAGCTAAGCAAGTACGATACAAAAAATTCAATCACAAACTTCAGTTTCATAAATTCAAATAAATTTCTATTTTCCAAATGGTAACAGTTGAATCAATAGTCTGAAAGACAAGTGTATGATGATATCTTCTTCTTTTTTGTAAAAGGCAAACCCTCCCCCTTTCTTACACAAGTGTCTCATCTCTCAATTGTATGATGTTGTATCTTTGACTTAGAACATAAACGTGAATAATGTTGCTGTTTTTAAAAGAAAAAGAAATATTTGTTCTATTCCACATTTTTCGAATCTTAAAATGCAAAAAAAAATTCATTGTTGTTACTTACTAGTTCTCTTTTGTAGTGAGAAGAAAAAAGTAAAGAGCAAAAATCAAAATTATTTTGTCGGCAAAAAGACGCAAAAACGAAATACACTTTGTAGTCTATACTAAAGATTAATTTTTTTTTTAAAAAAAGGAACAAAATTTATTCAGCGACGAACCATTATGCTTATCCATATATATTACGTAGTGTATCGGATTGGTAATCAAATATATTTCAGATAACAGTTTGGAACTAGTTTCCAGCTAATCAAAATAACATCCTTTCAGAGTATTCAATGAAGAATTTTTATAATCAACAAATCATAACATAGCACTTTATAGTGTTTTTTTTTATATTACTCCATATTATATGGCCTCTCAGCTTCTCTGATAATATATTTTGTAAGTCGTAAGACAACGTAAAATCCACAATTTTTATTACATAACTAATTAATTGAAATCTATATATATGTCTTACCTAGTGCCCTATTCCTAACTCAGCCATTTCTCA